ACAATTACCCGCGCGCGAGACACGCACCTGTACTTTTCCCGCGAGTTGGACGTGACGTGACGCCGGACAAACGTGCGTCGTGTCGGTGTTTTACGGAGGCTCTGGGAATAAAATAGTTATAAATGAAGTTTCCAGATGTGATGTCGCTAAAATCCTTAAAACTATTCCGCCTGTGATTTGACTTTTACGTAAACGCTTTTCCCGCGGGACATATTTTTGCAGCTCGTAAAAATGTCACTCATTAAAATGATCCCGTTCTTCAAATGACGGGCCTCTGGTTATATTTCCTTTTTATGCGTCCTAATATAAGCAACAAAACGCAACGCAACGAGCAGAGGAACGTACAGCTTTTTACAGCCTATATTTAGCTCTCCTCAGGCCAACTTTTCCCACGTAGTCATACAGCGCTCCCCCAGGGCTCCACTTTACGACTTTATACTTCAACTTCTATCACTTGAAATGTAAAAATACTTTTGGCTCCTCGTCTGATCCAATCAAACAGACTAAACCTTCCACATAATCCCAGATTGTCCCGCTCGGAGTTGTGTGTGCAGATGTTTCAGGACACTCCCTCCACAACAATATTTTTTTTCTATTTGGTTCCAACAAAACTCAAGCCAAAAATGTCACTTATCTTAATCCAAGAAAAACCAGGGCCGTGGTTTAGACAAATATGTGGTGAGATTTAAACTAACGAACCGGAAAGTGCCGGGTTTAACATCTCTACTCATGTGGAGTCAAAGAAAGAGAAGAGGAGAAGAGAGGAAGAGAGGAGAGGAACAGAGGAGCAGAGGAGCAGAGGAACAGAGGAACAGAGGAGGAGAGGAACAGAGGAGAGGAGAGGAACAGAGGAGGAGAGGAAGGACAGAGGAGGAGAGGAACAGAGGAGGAGAGGAACAGAGGAGGAGAGACAGAGGAGGAGAGAAGGAGAGGAGAGGAACAGAGGAGGAGGAACAGAGGAGGAGGTCAGAGGAGCAGAGGAGGAGAGAAGAGGAGGAGAGAAACAGAGGAGGAGAGAAGGGAAGGTGAGGAACAGAGGAGCAGAGGAGGAGAGAAACAGAGGAGGAGAGAAACAGAGGAGGAGAGGAACAGAGGAAAAGAGGAG